TTTATGTAAAAGTTTTTTCCTAAAACATTTAAATAAGCCTCACTGGTAATGATAATCATTTAAATTGGTCGGACAACAAATCAGGTTATTCTTACGTTAGTGAAAACAAAGGATTGACAACTTCCAAACATGGCGTGATTGAAGAGTTTTTTCGTAATTGATTAAATACAGTAGCAGATAGCATGCATTGAGATCCAATAATGGTATTTAAAAATAGGAAACACTGCACAAAAATCGCCTAGCGTTAAAAATAACCCCTGTAAATTGTCCAAGCATCTCCAACTTTTTTCGTGTATGTAATATTAAGTGGGAACTATTTCAATTAACTTGTTTGGAATTGAAATGACGCTTTAAATTGTAATGGTAGAATCAAAAGATTTTTGAATAAACCTTCATTATTGTAATAAAACGCGTAAGTTGCCCTCATATTTGTCACGTGTAAGTTCACATAAAGCAATCTTTAACGTCGAATAGTGCAAGCGCTATCTCTAGTTAAACCTAATCGGTTTGATTATATTAATCTAGCTCGTGATCGATTACTCTGAACTAGCGCAGTAGTGATTGGATTTGAAGGTTAAAAATATAGTCATGGCTCGAGTTACGATGACTAGAGTTCAATCTCTACTCTGAATAAAAAAAAATTACGAAAATGTACGATATAAATCTACCTACAAGTCCATGACTAACAAATATTTTGACATTCTTTTATTATGATGAAAAGATCCGAGACTTTGATAGTATTGTACGAATATAATCTCGCAAAGTTATACGACCCATGATTTTAGTATATGACTGAATGCTTGTGTAATCGATCATGTTTGATTGATAGGAAAGAGAAGTTTATTTAGAAAATTTTCGATATAAACCAAAGGGCAATGAGTACAATATATATTATAAAGAATGCTTATTATTAGCCGTTAAAAAAAAATAGAACAGATGTGTTAAAATAAGATATATTATACAAAATTTTGTCAAGAAAATTATATCGACGTTAATTTGTCTTTTGGATTACAGTAATAAAAATTTAGCTATCGTTATTGTCAAAAAAAAAAAAGCACTTACCGTATAAGCGCAAAATAACGCACAGGGGTGTAATTTCGAATTTTGGCTAAATCAAGATTAATTCGGGCCATTATTCAAAAGTAACACCCCTGGGCGTTATTTCGCGCTTACGTATACGGTATTCTCAATCAAAATAACATCAAAGTATTTCGACGAGATGACAACGTAGATTAGAAAGTGAATAGGTCAAGTCATCTGATGTGTCACATGAAACGTTGTTAATTATTTTCATGTGATGATTTAGCATCACATCCTGTGCCCTATTGGTGGTTTCCCATCATTTTAATGGTTACGGTTCTCATATTCTTAATGGACCATTCTAGTTGTGATTTATTTTTTTTTGTCAAAAATAATGCGCAACAAAAATGAAATTGAATAGTTCATTTTATTATCATCATTATTTAAAAACTTTTTTATTAAAAAAAAATATACAATTTTCTTGAACTTTATATAACGTTAAAAAAAAAACGCTAAACGCTAATTAACAATCAATATTTCAAGCTACCCTGGTATAGAATAAAGTTGTAAATTCCAGGTATACATTAAGGGTTCTCGTTCAAGATTGAATTTATTTAATGCTTGAAACCGACTTTTTGTGACTTTTGCATCAATTTTAAGAGAATTTGTTGTCAATCATCACGGTGGCATTTCCTTTGATAAAATTTTAAGTGACTTTCTACGGGTGCATCAACTTCGGGTATTACTTCTCTGACTTTATCAAAAGATTCCATTCTGTTATATACCGCGCGATATACTCCGAGATATTGTAACGTTTTTCCTAAATGTTGTACGACGAGTTCAAGATATTCGTCAGTGATACATTCACACCCTGAAAGTGTCAGCCAAGTTAATGGTGCTTTACAATTTTTAAGAAAAGATTCAAAAGCCGTTGTGGTAAATGACCATTCCGATGAAATATTTAACCTTCGAAGGCTATCTGGTATTGATTGACCTATCGCTGGCAAAAAAGTTTCTGCATCTAAACTTGCTCCATAAATTGCCAAGTTTTCAAGTTGTTGAGAACTGCACAAGAGAGTGCAAATTGCTGACACTTCTTCAATACCATGAATTTGATTTGATTCAAATTTAGTAATATTCGGACAATTTTTAACAACCGCGTTAATTACTTGTACTAAATATTTTGTACTCTGCGTTGAACATAACGTTACTTCGCGCAAGCTGGTATTAGCATTATAAGCTAATGATGTTACAATTTCAAGGGGAATGTCAGAATTTGAGATATTCAATTGTGATAATTTGGTTAATGATGATTCCACCATTGGACTACACATCTCTGTAGTTAATCCATCACAACCATCAAATTCCAAAATTTCCAAATTCTTACAAGCACCAATTCCAAAGAATGGAGGTTGACCTTCAAATCGTACATAACTTAATTTTAATCGAGTTAAAGTTTCGGATTGACTTTGTAAGGCTGCGATAATTCTTCCACCAGTATCATGTCCGTAATAATCACCATGAAGTTCTAAATCTTGTAAATTCCTTTGAGCTTGAATAAAAACAACCAAACCTTCAACTTCAACTTCAAATTTTTCTGTATTTCTACATTGCTTCTCATTATCCCATTCATATACTGGAAGATATGTCTTCAATTGACATACACCATGACAAATTGAGAATTTTTCAAAATATTTACGTAGTCTTTTTCCAGTAAGAGTTAATCTACGAATATGTTGCAAACAGGATTCGGCACCTGGGTAAGATGTGATATCATATCTTTCGAGTAACCAAGTTGCATCACAGGAAAATCGATAAATAGCGGGACATCGACTTACAAAAAGCTTCAATAATAATTCTGTAAGTATAAAACGACCTTCAGCACCAATACATTCATCTCTTCGAAGATTACACCACCACCATAAATGGTGATAAAGACCTCCAAGGTGAAGAACACGCCGATACTTTGCATAATCAAAAGTTGGTGGTGAAATAGTTGAAGGTGGAAGATTTAAACCGTTATCGTTAAGTATTTGTTTTTCTTCGTCTGATAAACATGCAATATATACTTCGACCAATTGTTTAGACATATAAGCATTTGGACTTCTCCATAAGATCGGTACAACTTCTTGACACCAGTGCCAATTAACCAAAAGACACGAGTGTAAAGAAATTTTATCCTCTTCAATACATTCAAATATTTTACGAAGGCAAAGGTTAGGTAAGGAAGAAGCCATTTTATTTCACTTTATTTTAATATATTTTAGATTATTCTTAAGTGAGTTAAGAGAGTTTTATTCAACAACTCTTGTAACTTATCTTTTTATGTCATGTGTGCAGTTGCAGGGGTGTACGCAAATTACATAATTTCGATCATCCATCTCAAAAAAAAAAATTTTGATATAAATATCTATTATCATCGTATGCTTTGTTTTCACTATGTTAATGGTCACACCTTTTGATAAAATAAAATGTAGCCACTTTTTTTTTTTTTTTCGGAAATAAATATTTCGGTTAAACTGTATTTAGCTATCCTTTATACAGTTATATCGAATATATTACAAAATAATTTAACCGAAATATTTGTTTCCGAAAGGAAAAAAATGACTTCATTTACGAAAGGTGTGATTCCTTCAACTGAAAAGTTTGACGGTTCTTCTTTACGTGTCTTGATAGTACACACCCGTTGGAATTATGAAGTTGTAGAAGCTTTAGTTCGTGGTGCAACAGAAACGATGACTTCAGAATATAATGTGAAAGCTGAAAATATTTCCATTCAATCAGTCTCTGGTTCTTACGAACTTCCTTTTGCTGCACAAAGCCTTATTAAAGCTTCGAAAATGGGTACTCAATGGTTTAATGTCGTTATTTGTATTGGAGTTTTAATTAAAGGTTCAACAATGCATTTTGAATATATCGCTGAAGCTGTAAGTCAAGGAATAATGAGGGTTAGTCTTGATAGTGGAGTACCTATTGTTTTTGGAGTTCTCACTTGTTTAAATGATGAACAAGCATTGGAAAGAGCTGGTTTAGGAGATAAAGAATCTAAACATAATCATGGAATTGACTGGGGACGATGTGCGGTTGAAATGGGTGTTAAGAATTGTAAGTGGATGTCTGGAATTATTTAAATGAGGGGTGTGTAGATTCTCATTTAACGTTATTAATTTAAATTTTGATCCAATTTAAGAAATCTAATAAAATCAAATGCACTATAAATGAAAATTGCATAATATGTATGCGTATATTTAAGTAGATACAACCAAACTAAAACTATCTCGCAAGAACCTTTCTAAACCCAAAATAGTAGACATTGTTAGAAGAACTATTATAATTTCTGCGGTGTATATAAAGTAGGATTGTTAATGAATTTGTGTTGGGTTAATTCAATCTTCAACCCAGATTCTATTCCAGATGATATTCCAGTAACAAACAACTCTAAGCATTTAATAAGTTACCGAAATAAATTGCTTAGTTCATACGCAAACACTTAACGCTAATACGATTTCCTGCTAAATTTGTTTAATTGTTTAATATCAAAGATCTAAAATTCGATTTCTGCACTCCTTTTTGCTTTTCTATGAATTAAGAGTTCATTAAATTAAGACTTTATTAAATTAATGTTTCGCATATAAAGAAATCGTAACCTGATTTTCCAAGTTTTTTTGGAGTAAAGTTAATATAACAAGCGATATCATAAAAACTTGGTATTATATAATATAATGATTACAATATTATAAATTTGCAAATTTCGAATTTTCGTTGTCCTATATGGCACGAAGCCTATTATATCAATAGAATCGATTTAATTTGCTCTTCACAATTATTTTTGTTGACTTTGCCATCGTATAAATCTAATCAAAAATAGTTCAATTGATAGTCATGTGAAATGTAGGTAATGAGGATTTTCACGTGTAAAATGACATAATTTTTTATAATTTTTATTATATTCGCCCTTTTCACCTCTTTAGTTTTTAATAATGGTAGAAAAACTTGAAAAGTCAAAAATCCACAGTAAAGTCATAAAAATGAACACTGATCGAATATTTAGGCAACTATTACTTTTGATATTTTACGTTGGGACTGTTGCTTTAGGATCTTTATGTAGTATAATAAATCCTCTTCCCGAATCACACTTTTCGCAAAAGGACAACTATTTTAATGTGTGGTTTGTGAAACTTGGTTGGTTTTGGACATCGTTAGTATTTGTCCTATATTCTTGGAAAGTAATTCACCATAAAAAACCCGATCAATTTATATCGTCGCTCCTTCGTTGGAGTATTGCAACCCTATATTGGTGTTTCGTTACCCAATGGTTTTTTGGTCCTAGTATTGCTGAGCGGGCCTATGTCGTAACTGGTGGAAAATGTACCCTTGAAGGTTTAAATACGCAATGGACCGAATCTCGTGCATGTAAAAGAAATGGTGCCTATTGGTCAGGTGGACACGATATCAGCGGTCATTGCTTTTTATTGATTCACGCCTCACTTCTTCTTTGGGAGGAGCTCAGTGTTCTGCTACATTATCAGGAGGGTATGAAAAGGGCGAAGCAATATAAGATGCATACGTTCTCCATGATTTTCATTCTCTTTCTTTGGTGGTATATGTTACTTATGACATCTGTATATTATTTTCACAATTTTCGGGAAAAATTGTCTGGAACTTTTTTTGGTGTCCTTTATTGGATAACGGCATATATGTTCATTTTTCCATTGTATGCAAGAAATTTGCTACCATATAATAAAGACCTTAAAGCTAATACCTCTTGATTGTCAAACAGTAATGAATCATTATTTCACCCAAACTTATTTGTGAAGACCTTCTTACCCTAGAATTTCTTTCTTGCTATTATATAATTAGAATTCAAAAAATAACATTGCATGTAAGAGTTAAATGTAAACTTTATTTAAGCGGACATTGATGTATTATAACCATTTGTTTAATAGCAAAAAATTTCATTTAATTTATAATTATATTTATCAAATCTTTATTTATTATTACTATAAAATTTAACACTTTTTTTTAATTAGTGATTTGAGTGTTTTGGGGTAAGACATTGTTTTTGACCCACTAAACTTAATTGCTCAAAAAAATATACACAATATATATATAAAGTTCTCTGAACTACTAATATGAAACTTGAGAAATTTGTTAAATTTTAATAAAAAATTATATATTATTGAACTTCGCTAAATAGGTTAAGGTTAGAGTTAGGTATATTGGTTGATTTTAGTTAGGGTAAGGTTTTCGGGGGTTCTGAACATTTTTACTTAGAGCCCCTAACCCAAATTACTTAGTACATTTTTGAGATATATTGTTGCGGTGATAATCACCTGCGGTGAGATTTAGCAATACCCAATAATATTTATATTTCAACATATTAAAAGTCATCAGTGAACTATTAGAATGAGATTACATCGTGACTGCCCACTTTTGGTGTGGTGAGTATCTTAGAGGTGGAAATGACAGAATACTTCGCGACTGTCACTTGGGCAGCGAGCAGTGTCTGAAATTGGATCGCGGAGTCTGTGGGCCGCAATTCCCGCAACCAAAATCTGAAGTGCATATGCAAATTTTACCTATAAATTTCGATCAAATGTTTGTGCGCAACTAAAATTTAAATTTTGTAATCCGCAATTAATTTAAAAATTGAATTCAGACACTGACAGCGAGTCTCTGGGAGGTGAACTTTGCTCAGGCAAGGTTGTGACTATCGTTTGACATGATCTTGTCTTTATTATAGTGAAAAGGTCAGTTTGTTCATGACTGCCACTTGGGTGGTAAGCAAGCTGAGTTTACTATCCTCCAAAGTGCTTCACAACTGCTATTTGGATGGCGATTCTTTGGCTTTTTTGTTAATGTCTGTTTATTATAGTATGTGGAATAAAAAATTTTATGTTTAGAGTATTAGTACTTTATCTTCTATTAATATACCGAATAGTCGTGCAGGGTGTAATTTCAAATTTTGGTCCGAATTAAGTTTAATTCGGGCCATTATTCTAAATAACGCTCATGGGCATTATTGCAACCATACAGCATATTGCTAAGGGGTCGAATGGCTTAATTTGAGTAAATGAGAGACTGCTTTTGTGATCGTCACTTTGGCAGCGAGTATCTCAGGCATGGAAATAACAGAATACTTTGTAACTGCTTCATTGCGGTGAGTCTCTTTTTGCCTGGCCCAGATTGTGACCACCATTCGCCTGTCGTTAAAATGAAAAGGCTTAGCATGACGGCTACTTTTGTAGTGATCTGCCTGTCATTACAATGAAGAAAAAAGGCCAGCATGTTCATAATTGCCATTTGAACAGTGAACAAGCTGAGTTTACTACTCTCCAAAGTGCTCCATGACTGCCACTTGGTGGGCGGTGGTTCCTTGGTTTTCCATTAGTACCTGTTCATTTTACTTTAAATTTATATATGTGGAACGCATGAAAAGGTAAAAATTATTTTTATTGAGTGTATATATAGTGCATATCATAAAAGTCCTTCTCTTTTTTTTAATTACGATAGTTATTTACTGTATGCCAATATGTACAGTATATTTTGCATAAATAATTATTGTAGTCTCTATACAAAGGCACAAAACATGTACACACTAAAGAAACTTCAACTACAAAGCTATGAATGGCACTAAATGGTCACTCTAATCATACACTCTCCTCAATTTATGCTTCTGAATTACTTGAAACTGCTTGTTACAAAATCCTTACTAGTATAATTACTACCACCCTGCAGTATATCTCTAACAAAAATTTACAGTCTACAACTTTTAATATTTTTTTTTCCCAAGGCTACTTATTTTCACACTAATTTTAAAAAGTTTAGTAATATTATTCAATATGCAAAATATGCTCTTAAACATTATTTTTCTATTCTTACTCACCTTATTCTATATATCTTCTTACTTAATCAATCTTCTAGCCTTAATATTTTTCTTCTACCCAATACACATTAACTTCTTAATTTCTAGATTGCCAATACTAACTCTAAGTAGAAAAATCTTTTTCATATTTACAAATATCAAAGAAATTAGATAACAAATCTTTAACTCAATTAACAAAAGATATACTAAACTTCTAACTAATTTTATTTTTATAATTAATAGAATTCTCAATAGATTTAATTGCCAATCCAGATAAGATAGGCACTATTTCTATATTTAGAATTGAGGCAAAACAGATAAACAATGTATTATAGTATAAAATCTGAAGTAAGCTTGTATATATAAAATTTTCATATGATTTAAAGAATTTTAAAAACATTTTTACTTATATCTTCTTACCTACAAGTCTAATTTTAATAAAATTTTACCAGTAGGTGTATAAGAACCTGCTCTACAACTTTACTTTTTTAATTTTGGCAATTCTGTCTTTATTATACTAGGGGTGCATAATAGATACATAGTTTCTGAACAAAAAGTCTGCAATAAACTAAATGCTTTTCACCTTTCTACTTCTTAATAAAGACTCACTCAGCTGCTCGTAATGGTGCCCAAGTGCGATTTGCCACAACAATAATTCACTCCTCTTTGGCATCTAACTTGCCCCGAAAAAATTACTAAAAGCTTATTGCTAGCTTTGTCAAGATTGCTTTTTTCTTAATATTTTTTCTTCTTCAAAGGGGTATATACCAAGAAGGGGGAAAATAAAAACAAAATACAAATAAAACTAAAATGACAAAAACAAAGGAGAAAAAAAAAAAACAAAGAAGAATAAAAAAAATAAAAACAAATACAAAAGGGAATAAAAAAGAGAAAATGACAAAAAAAAGAAAACAAAAAGGATAGTGGAAAATTTTGTTTTTTAGCACTATTGTTATCCATACTAGGCTGATAAAAATTATATAACAAATATAATATTTGTATATCGCTTTACTTTATCATTTAAATTTTCCTACTAGATCATCTGGACTCCTAAATGACGTAAGTAGCCAACCTTGGTATTACGTGAAACAGCATGATCTATAAACAAAACAAACCAGACACATGATCGCAGTCTGCCAAAACTGTCCAGATTTGAAAGGTGTAAACAATGCCAATCTTTTGGAGGGAGTAAGCTTTGCTTACTTTTGTGAGAAGTTTTGGAATAGCAGTGAGAAGGCAGAAAAAAGAGATAAAACACTTTGTTTTGTTTAATAAAAGAGTGTGTATTTTCTTGACTCAACATATAGAATCCATAATACCTTATTTAGAGTAGAAAGATGCAGGTACTTTTTTTATTTTTTCAATAAGTGATAAACTCTGGACTTGTTAACAAATAGCATATGAGAACTATTTCTAAACAACAAGTGCCGGCCTCTACGGTGAGTGATAAACTTTGAGAAAGTTAGCAAGTAGCATATGAGAACTACCTCTAAATAACAACTACTGAGTTACAGAGCTTAAGGGCTATTTTCCAGACTGTTTCAACCTCTATAAACACTTGTATTTTTTAAAAAATTTTAGATTTTTGTGGTAAAAGTGATCGTCAGGAAGAGTTGTGAATGTAAACTATGTGCTTTACAACTTTACTTAAAGCCAAAAATTATTTACTTAGTATAAAAAATATTTATTATATCTAAAACAAATTTACTAATATGGGGTGATTCATATTAAAAAGGCCCATTTTGACAATTTTTTAAAAATTTGTTTTATTCGATTTTCGAATAGATATACATCCAATAAATAGATTTGCACTAAGTTACAATAAAAAATTACATAATAAAAAAATCTATAAAATCAAAAAAACTCGTTACACCAAAAAAATCTAAAAATAGCGCAAATTGATCTCTAGATCGAAAAGAATGTTCTGGAATGAAGATTACTGATTTTTTAAATTCTAATAGGCTTAATAGTTTAAAACTATCTTTACTAATACCAATGCTGAGTTGAGAATCTTTTTTAAATTCTAGTAGATTGGGTTCATAACTATCAGTGATGGGAGTTATAAACCTAACCCACTAAAATCTGAAAAAGCTACTGGCGATAAAGGTTTTTTATTGAAACTAGTAAGTTGGATCAAAAATTACCAGTAAAGATCTTTTTCTAAATTCTGTTGTTTTAGAGCAGTAACGAACGTTTCCTTTTGGTTCTAGCCTTGGGTTAAACTACCAGTAACGAAGGGCTGCCAGTAACAAGGGCTTGGTTCTAAACTGCCGGTAAAGAACTTTTTAAAAATTCTGTTAGATTGGATTTATAACTATCAGTAACGAAGGTCTTTAGGTAGAGCCTTGAGTTCAAAACTACCAGTAATGAAGGTTTGGGTTTAGAACTACTGGTAAAGATTATTTTTTTCTAAAAAAAAAAAAAAATTCATTGGATTGGATTTATAACTACTAGTAATGAAGGACTTCTTTATTCTCAAAACTACCAGTAATGAAAAGACGAGTTCAAAACTGCCAGTAAAGATTTTTTTTCAAATTCTATTGGATTAAGTTCATAACTACCAGTAACAGAGGTCTTTTTTAGATCTAGCCTTGTGTTCAAACTACCAGCAATGAAGGGTTGAGTTCAAAAATCCAGTGAAGATTTTTTTTTTAAAAAAAAAAACCTTGGGTTCAAGACTACTAGTCACGAATAATTCGATTCAACTTCTTTAGGTTTTAGCCTTAGATTCAAAACTACCAGTAATGAAGAATTAGGTTTAAACTACTTTTTTTTTTTAAAAAAAAAATATCATAGGATTGAGTTTATAATTACCAGTAATGAATGTCTTCTTTAGGTTCTAGCCTTTAGTTTGAAACTACTAGTAATGAAAGGGCAGGTTCAAAACTATCAGTAAATATGAGTTCATATACCAATGACAAAGGTCTTCTTTAGGTTCTAGTGTTTGGTTCAAAATTGCGGGTAACAAAAAGCAGGTTCAACTACTAGTAACGAAGGATTGGGTTCAAAACTACTGATGAAGATTTTTTTTTTTAAAAAAAAAACTTATTAGATTGGGTTCATAATTGCTAGTAATAAAGGTCTTCTTTAGGCTTTAGCCTTGGGTTCAAAACTACTAGTAATAAAAGGGCAGGCTCAAAACCAGCAGTAAGTAAAGATTTTTTTAAAAAAATAAAAAATTTTGGATTGGGTTCATACTACCAATAACGAAGGCTTTCTTTAGGCTCTAGCTTTTGATTTAAAACTACTAGCAACAAAAAGACAGGTTCAAACTACTAGTACAAATGTTAGGTTCAAAACTATGATAAAGATCTTTTTTTTTTTAAAAAAAAAAAAAATTCCTAAGAGCAGATTCAAACTATCGGTAAAGATTTTTTTTTTTTAATTTTACTGAATTAGGTTCATATTATTAGTAATGAAGTTCTTTTTTAATTTCTAATCTTGGGTTTAAAACTACAGTAGCTGGTAAAGATTTTTTTTAAAAAAATTCTTTTGGATTGGGTTCATAACAATAATTAACGAAGGTTTTTTTTAGATTCTATCCTTGGGTTCAAACTACCAGATTTTTTTTTTTTTAAAAAAAAAAAACTTATTGGATTGGGTTCATACTACCAGTAGCGAAGTTCTTTTTTAAGTTCTAACCTTGGGTTTAAACTACCAGAAATCGGTAAAGATTTTTTGAAAAAATTCTTTTGGATTGAGTTCATAACAATAAGTAACGAAGGTCTTCTTTAGGTTCTATTCTTGGGTTCAAAGAGTGTGTTCAAAACTACTAATAGAACATTATTTTTTTTTTAAAAAAAAAACCTATTGGACTGAGTTCTTTAAGTTTTAACCTTGGGTTTAAACTACTAGTAACCGGTTAAATTTTTTTTAAAAATTCTTAGATTGGGTTCATTGCAATAAGCAACAAAGGTCTTTAGAGTTGGGTTCAAACTACTAGTAACAAAAGAGCAGGTTCAAAACTATCAATATATATTTTTTTTAAAAAAAAAAAAACTTATTGGATTGGGTTCATACTACCAGTAACGAAGTTCTTCTTTAAGTGCTAACCTCGAGTTTAAACTACCAGTAACTAGTAAAAATTTTTTTTAAAATTTTCAGATTGGGTTCATAATAATAAAGTAACGAAGGTCTTTAGGTTTGGGTTCAAACTACCAGTAACAAAAAGGCAGGTTCAAACTACTAATAGATTTTTTTTTTTTTTAAAAAAAAAAACCTATTGGATTGGGTTCATACTACCAGTAACGAAATTCTTCTTTAAGTTCTAATCTTGATTTAAACTACCAGTAACCGGTAATAAAGATTTTTTTAAAAAAATTCTTTTGAATGGGGTTTATAACAATAAGTAACAAAGGTCTTTTTTAGGTTCTATCCTTGGGTTCAAACTACCGATAACAAAAGGGCGGGTTCAAAATTACAATAGATTTTTTTTTTTTTAAAAAAAAAAATTTATTGGATTGGGTTCATATCACCAGTAATGAAGTTTTTTTTTAAGTTTTAATTCTTTTGGATTGGGTTCA